CGGGATGATTCGGAGGGAGAGCTATTTTCTTGATTTCAAGTGATCGTTCGTACGATGAAAGTGCTTTCGAGTACTCGCCCATTCTATAATACACTTCGCCGATATTGTTGTAGGAAGTAGCCAAGCTGAGATGATTTGGAGGGAGAGTCTTCTCTTTGACATGCAGTGCTGTTTCGTAATATAAAAGTGCTTTGGAGTAGTTGCCCATATCCTTACACACCCAACCTAGTTGATTATTATATTCTATACGGTCTTCATCAGAAGACGTCTTTGCAAGGATAATTTGATAGAGTTGTTCTGCTTTTGCAGGTTCGCCCACTTTAATAAGTATGAAACCAAGTTGAGACCATCCTGTTCGTCCACCAAGGTCCTTACGTATGTGTGCTGTAAGTGTGTTCAATTCATGATTGTCATTACCCACAATAGTGAGATTAACTTCGTATAGCCGATCACAGTGATTATCGTGAATTTGTTCAATGCGATCGATACGAAAAATCGCATGTGTTGAAAAGAGTATTTCTTCCTCTTTATCTTTGTAGTAGCCAACTTTGCTTACTTCAGCAAATGATGTCGATGATTTTGTACAAATAGCCGTGTCAATGTTCATAATGAAAAGGATGCCAACTGAATTTGTATTTAATGCTGCTGGTCGTGCAAAGTTATTGAAAGATATCTCACGATTGCGGCTTGTTGATAAGAAATTATTGAAGGACATAAGTCCTCCTTTGGTTTTTTTCATTTTTTCAAAGTCTTCAATGGACAAACCTTGTCCACGGAAGACTTGAAATTTTGCTGGCATGCTGGCTTTTTGTTCACGATGTAGTTCGGTAATATGTTGATGTAAATGACGGATGAAAAAGCCCATTTTAAGGATGATGTCAACATCCATTTGTCGGAGTCCACGATTGAGCATGGGATAAATAAATGTCTCCGCTGTATACCACCATATTGGTGTATGATCACGATATTCACGTTCAACAAGTTTAATTTCATCTTCATCAACATCATTTTGCAGACGACAGTATTTTACGAGATCTTTAATCGATTTGACATCGTCATCTTCAATTTCCAAAAGCGCTTCTTTTAATAGTTGTGTATACATAAATAATGCATCCCGACCATTAAAGCTGATCGGGATCATAGCTTGATCACATCGTTGTCGATCGATTTCAAGTGCTTGACAAATTGGTTCTATTTTAGTATATACACCCTTAACCTTGCTTATTTTTTTAGCCCATTGTTCATGAACCGATTGGTTACCACAAAACACATAAATTGCTTCCAGTTGTGGCAATGCTTCGATTTCTGGTACTATTTGACGACCCAAGGAACCGGATACAATCATAAATACCTTTTCTTTTTTGATTTCACTTACGAAATTAACACATTGTTGGGCATCCGTAAACGTTGTGATGGATGCCACAATTTTTCGAAGATGTTGCAATGAATTCTTAAAATCGTTATCTGATTCTTGCAAATTGGCATCGAGCCATACCAAAAGGAAATTTTGAAGAATTCGACGAGCAATTTGAGGAAGTACTGCATTTCTGCTTGCCGTTGTTGTTGGTAGTGATGCTGCTGCTGTTGTTGATGATGATTTTTTTGGTTTATTTATTGTGGAAGGAGAAGATGATCCACTGGCAGTTGATTTTGAATGTTGCTTTTTGTCCATTTGGATGATTTTGATGATAATAATGACGTTGTGTTTTTCGTGAATGATTTTTTTTCAATAGGTTTTTTTTCTTTTTTTCGTGTTGACACTTTTTATTTTTTGGTTTGTTATTTTTGTTGCTATAGAAGACTTGAAGGATTTCTTTGCCCAATTTTTTGTTTGTTCGTTCGTTTTTTTATTTCAAGAGTTTTTTTTTATTAACAAAACGACAGTGACGAAACATGTGTCACCAATAACTGAATAATTGTATTATCGATCAATTGCGCATGATTTGTAGGAAAGAAAAAACAAAAAGTTACAAATAGAATTTCAAAATAAGTCGCTATATTTTTTGTTTTCATTGTTTTTCTTTTTCTTTACTCTTGTCTGGAATCATTAGAAAATTCTCTTATTTTGTCAACGTTTCTATGTGCAAGACATCTTAAATCAATAAAATAAGTGTCTCATCAAAAAAAGAAAAAAAGAACGAAAAAAAAAAGAATTCATTTGTGTAGTTAGAGTGAAAATGTTGAAAACATAATTATTTTCCATGACTAAAATATTTTGTTTTCAAAATACAACATAAGTTCTTTTAGTTGTTGATTTAGTTGTTATACTCAAGTCATCATGTTTTCTTTTGAAGTTTGCATCATCATCTCAACAAATCAGGGAAGAAGAAAAATAGACATATAATAAAATGAAACAATATTGTTTGCATTGTTGCCAAGGTTTTTTCCAACATAGGTAGGAAGAATGAGTATCGAAATAATGCCACGTGTAGATGTGAGCATGAGTTTGAGTCTGTTTGTTCTTCATAATCACACCAGAGGTGGGATCGGTTGGCATTTTTGCCAAACCGAACCGACCGTAACCGAAAAAATCTCTAACCGAACCGAACGTAACCGACCGAATTTTTTAAAATTTCTAACCGAACCGATCGTAACCGAAAAAATCTCTAACCGAACCGAATGTAACCGACCGAATATTTAAAAATATCTAACCGAACCGACCGTAACCGACCGAATTTCAAAAATTTCGTAATCGAACCGAGTTTAGAGAAAGCGAAGTTTAGCTTATTTTAGTTAGGGTATTAGTGCTTTATAAATTAGCAACAACAAATCAAATAATAGCAACTAAAAATAATGAACACTTAGAGAAAGCAAAGAATAAAGATTATTTATTGGATCTTCTTACTGTATTATAACTTCCTTACCTCTCAGGGCAAATTTTAAAATTATGTGAGATAATCCGCGTTGCGAGCAACAGCTAGTTGTTGTACGATTATATTCTTTTTTCTTCTTATGTTTCACTGAAAAAGTCCATTGAACTCAAATGAAACGATTATGTTGATTCTTTCTAACCGAACCGAACATAACCGACCGAATTTTTTAAAATTTCTAACCGAATCGACCGTAACCGAAAAAGTCTCTAACCGAACCGAACGTAACCGACCGAATTCTCTAAAAATCTCCAACCGAACCGATTTCGGTTACGGTCGGTCGGTTCGGTTCGGTTAAAAACCGAATCGGTCCCATCTCTGATCTCTGTCCACCTATTTGCACTTGAAAATTAACATAGTCACTATTTCCAGTAAAATTCTGATCATCTAAGCGTACATTATCTGTTTGCTTTATTGTACCCGCCTTATATGGCTGAGACATAACTACCACTAGTTTATCATTTTCATTCCTTAATTTTTTCATAGCTTCAGGTATTAATTTATATTTTATTTCTTTTTCTAGAACCATCCTGCATTACTGTGATAGGATTGAAGATGTAAAGGTTTTTCTTTGGTGTACCACCTATCATCTGATTACGTCTATTCAAGTCAATCTCCCATCTACGTCTCTAACATATTTTTCTAAATGTTTAGCAGTATAACGGCGTAGCGATACTCGTTCTTGTCCTATAATATTTTCATTTACTTTTCTACCTAATGATTCATGATAAGCTATTAGCAAACAATCTTTCCGTCCATTGATCTGTATATATGTTTCTGTTCCTCAACCAGTAAAATAATGTCCAATATCTCCATTTTCATCTGCTTCATAATAGATTTTAGCAGATTGTTTAAAAAGAGCAGGTATTTTTCTTACTTCTGAAGGATTTATTATTTCTTTTTCGCCAGTATCTGAATTGTAAACAGTTATTTTTCTTCTTTTACGATCTGCTAACATTTTTATATCAGCTAGACCTAAAGCTCTATCTTTATCTTTTGCTTCTCTCAAATAACTTGCAGTAATTTATTTTGGATTTCTAATAATATTTTGTAGATCTTCTCTTTTCGCTCGATCTTGTTATTCTTTCTTTGAATCTTGATTTACTGGAGATTGTTCAACAGCAATTTGACTTTCTGCATGATTTTGTCTATTTTGATTCGATTGTT